ATCGATCTATAAGGGGGTTGAATAGATCGTTTAAAATAGTTTGCGCTTTTTAAAATTATTTTTCATAAATATATGTGAAAGCTCCCGGAATCTTCAATAGTCTAAATGATCCTCTATGGAAAAGATCGGATATGTGTAACCGTATGGGATAGAATGACAAAGTAAGAATCAATGTGTTTTACTCAATTGGTCAATCACTTATACACCCTCAATGAATATGAATTACTTATAATGAGTTGAATAAGATGAAGCTAAACACAATGAATAATTTATGGATTAGTCAATTTGTCAAACACCTTATGAGAAAAGCACCTTAGGTTTGATTTTACTAAATTGTAGTTGTTAGTTTTCTTGGGTATCAATCAAAAGGATTGTTACCGGTGTTGTGAAATGATCTCAACACTCCATAATTTCAGTTCATACAGATTTGACAAGTTAATTTTCACAAATTATAGTAATCAAGTATGGAGATAAAGAAAAAAAGAAGAACACACGATTTATTAAGGTAGTTCCCCTTGTCGTCCTCGCGTAGGGTACGTCTTCCCTTTCCTTGGTTTGAGCACAACCAAGTGCCAAATTCTTCGAACAAACCTCTGGTTACCGCTACTTGATTAAGCAAACCCACAGTTTCTTAATCCTTTCACTCGGCTGGTTTTGATTGCAAGCAATTTGACCCTAAATCTATCTTCACAATCCTCCGATTATCGCTACTTGATTAAGCAAACCCACCATTTCTTAATCCTTTCACTCGATTGAATTCAATGAAGCAAAGACTTGTGCAAAAAACCCCGCACAATAGGAATCTTGGAGGAGAAAATCCAAACGATTTTATTCAAGAACAACCCACAATTGCTCAACCAAAATCTGAATTGAATCCTTGATTTGAATGCTATCGCCACAACACTTTTATTGAATCAACAATCATGATTATGCGTTGATATTGATTTTTGAGAAGAGAGGATGAATATGATGAGCACTATGTATATCTTTCACTAGTTCTTGTTAAACTGCTCAAAAAGAATCTAAACATTATTTATATGTGTTAGTGACAAACCAATAATATCTAAGAAATAAAGAAAATGAGACAAACAGAATTTTGAGAGTTTTAAGTGAGCGGTCGACCGCTCCAGAGCCTTTGGTCGGTGCAACATAACACACGCCAAGGAGATGAGCTAAAAATGTTGAATGCATTGACCGCACCAGAGCCTTGGGTCGGTACAACACAACCTGCGACAAGAAGATGAGTCAAACCGATTTAATGCGTCGAACGAACCAGGGGGTTGCATCGACGCAATCTTCAATTTTCTTTGATAATCAGGTTGAGTCGACCAAGGGGTCGGAGCAACACATGCAGGGAGAAGCACAAAGATTTAAGTCGACCGGAGCTAGTTTTGCATCGACGCAGTCTTTGTTTTTCCTGCCAAAAAAGGTATTTTCATCCAGGCTTGCATCTTATATATTGTCCCAAGTATATTTTATGAACCACACATGTCATTGAGGATAGAAGAGGTTTTGACATCATGAAAACATGAATCTTGCCCTCACATCAAAAATAACAACAACAAACAATAAAAACAACAACAACAAACAAACAACAACAACAACATTAATGTAACATGAGGGTGATCTTTGACGTACCAGATCTTTGAAGAAGAAGTGAAAGAAATAATTTGGGTCTTTCATTCTGGTAAGTATCGAACGAGAGACCTAAATACATATCATCTTCGTATTGAGCATGATATATTGCGTCTTCAGTTTCTCGTACTTGGTTCTTGAGTTGACCATATTTAGGTGCACTAGGTATTGTGAGGAATTGGTTGTTGTAGTCAAATATTCTAAGCACCGTAGGGAATTGATTGTTGTTGTTGGATGTGCAAAGCATCTTCGACAAGACCCATGTAATCTATAGGATCGTTAAAATGTCTCTGACAACGCCCTTGAAACCTTTAGCTCAGGCGCCAACTGTGTTGGTTCTACCCCAGTTCTCTATCAATGAAATATAATCACAAAGGAACGGTTCAGAATTTGTGCAGTTTCATTCATAGTGGACAATTATTTATATGTGATATATCATAGTTTACACGCATATATATATATATATATATATATATATATATATATATATATATATATATATATATATATATATATATATATATATATATATATATATATATATATATATATATATATATATATATATATATATATATATATATATATATATATATATATATATATATATATATATATATACACACATACACACAAGAGTTTTCCCTTGCTAGTTTCCCTTTTTTCACCGCTTAGACCGACTTCAGAGACCTTTGTAGGGGACTTGGTCTTTGGAGATTCTTCTCGGTCTCACTTGTCGCCCTTAACATATTCGGACAATCAGCCTTTCTTGATCAACGCTTCAATCGCTTCTTTAAATTTGAAGCAATCATCGGTGTTATGGTCGTGTCCTTTATGGAAGCGGTAGTACTTTGATTTTTCTGTTCGAGCAGACTCCCAGACATGATAAGGAGGATGAATTCCTACCTTTCGGAACTCAGTTTTAACACATTATTGGTAAATTTTATCCCGGGAAGTATTCAAAGATGTGTACTTGTTATACCGACCATATATCCCTATATTAGTGTCCTCTTTACACTGGCGGAATTCCTTTTCTAACAGGTGGTTAAATTTTACATCGACGACTGAGGTTAGGTTGTCGAAGAGAGTATTCATATTTTCTTCCAACGTCATGTACGATTGGTCCAAATTGAGCATCTCATGAGTCGTCTTCACCTTCTTTATTCCCAACTTGGTGCAGAAAGGATGGTTAGGAGAAGGCCATTCTCGAAGATCCAACATTGAATGGCCTCTTCGGCTCCCTCCAACTCTATTATAACCTGGGTGAATCAACCAATGTACGACCGTAAGCTTTCTTTTACTCCTTGTATAATTCTACACAAGGTTGTTATAGTAATCAGTAGCCTCTTCCAGGCGATTTGACCAACGCCAATACTAGTAAATTATTCTTGGAAGCATCATCGGCACAATAGTAATTGAGCTGGTCATTGAGGAGTTGGACATACTCGTCGGGATCTCCCTTTTCATTGTGCTCTCCCAATTTGGGAGGCTTTTGCATTGACTTAGGGATCTTGCTGTGTAAGATTCGGGAACATAAGAATGCTTAGGCTACATCCTGTTTGTTGGTATTCATCATGACCTGGGGACAGAGTGTGGATGCCTCGGTCTCTGTCCGGGCTCTGGGGTGGAGAGTTACATTTCCTCCTTTCGATTAGATGGAACTATTTCTCCTAAACACAACCTCGTGAATTGAGTTTGCTCGGGGCTGGGCGTGGTGGAAACTTTCTTCTAAGCAAGGGAATCTTTCCTCTATCGCCTTGGAGTTTTGTAGATGAACGAGATTGTAAATATCGTTGAGCACCTCTTTTGCACCTCAAGCGCCTAGGTTTTCTTCGAGGATTTCGATACCATGTGATATCTCTGGTCGCTCAACAAGAAGGGGAGTTGGAACTCCCAGAGGTGGAGCTCAAACAGTCCTTGCCCTTGGAAGAGGAATGATCGAGTCTAACCGTGGAGGAATATCAATGTAGAAATTCACTTCTCTGGATGAATGGTGTTTGGTTGATTAACAGTCGTTGATGATATTTCGATAGTAGCTATAGCGGCTTCGCGCACGGTGGAAGAACGAGTAGCTTTAGATCCAACCATTTTCTCAGACCAAAGGACATAGATATAAAAAACTGTAGATTTGGAAAATCGATGAACTATAATTGGTGCAGAGTTTGAATTAATTGATCACAATAGAGTTTTGCGCACGATTTTCTGATTCTCCGTTTAGGTATCAAAGATAATTCCACACCTAAAAATTGAACACAAAGGTATAAGTTATAAGAATGCTGGAATCGAAAATCGTTTTCCACAAACAACGCCACTATTTATTCTAGAACCAGAACTAGAGTGAAATGCAGAAGTTGGAGTGGAGAGGGGGTGTACCTACAAGATTAGCACTCTAACGTTCAAGTCAGTATGTAAAAAAATAGAGAGTACTCAAATTGTGTGTGAAACTTGTTATATGTAATGACGTCATTCATTATATATAGAATAGAGGAATAACTACCTTACTATTTTTCAGGCATTAAATGCAGAGGATCATTTGAATGCCTGTGAGACACATATCTCCTATAAAGAAATATATGATATACTTATGATAAAGAGAGGATCTCCGGAGGCATAACCATGTTATCGATTGATGAGTAATTGTCTCAAAGTCTTCTATCTCAAAATGGTCTATTTAAGAGGGACATGGTCAATCCAAAATAAAAATAAATGAGAGAATAAAATAAATGTAATAGAAATAAAAATATTTTGTTGGATATCTGATAAAACTAAATAATATTAAAAATAGTGTCATAGTAACATCTATGGTAAAAATATGATGGAAAATAGACTCCTCTGATATAGAAATGTAGAAAAAATCCATAGATTTAATAGAAAAAATTGTTATAAGAGAAGTCATGAGAATTTCAAGATTAACAATTCAGATAGAAATACATAGGGATAAGGTAATTGTAGTTGCATTATGGCCAGCTTTACCTGCTTAACTCATTACCCATTAGAAATGAAGTTGGGAAGACAATTTTCAGAAGGGATGTACCCAAATGTATCAGTAGGTTTCATATGTATGAAAGTGTTTGTTATAGTATTGCTTTTTTCTTTTAGATTTTACGCTTTAATTTTGATACAACTATGCAATCTCTATCAATTTGTCTTGCTTGTTCACCAGGTGTTCTGCAAATGGTAATGTGCATTGTGCATTTTACTTATCTATTATTTTTAAATCAGAATTGCAGTTAAAGAGAAATTGAAAACAAAAAAAAAAATTGTGTTTCCAAGCCACTTTATTGAAGTTAATGACATTGATAGGCAGCAATATTCATTACACAAGAATATTAAAAAACCAAAATCACAAATCAAAGTAAAAATCATTATATGCAACCATTATATCTATGTTTGGCATCAACATTTCTTCTCCTCTTATTCTTTTTCTTTAACTTGTCACAAGTGAATGTTCTCTCAAGCTGTTCCACTCTTTGTGTGAGAGATGTGAGAAGTGATGTTTGCTTCTCATTCTTCTCAAACAATTGTGTCATCATATTCATCATCTTCTCATTCTCATTCATCATCCTTCTCAATATTTCCCTTTTCTCATCCTCTTCCTCCTCACATCCAATTACATTTCTACCCTCCTCTTCTTTCACATCCACACTATCCTCCTCAATTTCTTGCTCCATCAAACTTGATCCCACACTCTCTTCTTCCTCCATCTTCTTCTCATCCTCATCTCCACCCTTACCATCATCCTCATCTGTGGGACTCACCATGTGAATTTGATCCACATATTCTTGAAGAAAAATGGCCCTTTTAATGAGCGACTTTCTCAACTCCCTAAGAGCAGAACAATGAAACACACTTACAGAATCCAACCTAAGAAGCAGATTCATGATGGTTTCACATATCTTTATCCTCTCCTTTTGCTCCTTCTTCATCACCCTCACAGTTTCTTCACTATTCACCTTCTGCTCAATGTCCTCCAACTCCACTTTCATCTTCAGCATCTTCTTCATACACTTCCTCACAAGATACCCTCTTGCAACCCTCTGAATCTTGGTGGCTGAATCGGTTCTGTTTCTCTCCGACCCAACGAAATGAACCGGAATACAAACCACCTTGGAAGGTGTCTTGTTGTAACGAGGAGCACCCCATCTGTTGTTGTTAAAATGCATCATGTTTTGTTAATTCGAAAATTGTTTCTGATATTTGAGAGAATTAAGGTTGCTCAGTTGCTGTTTTGTGGATACAATTGATATGAATGTTTCACGATATTTGAGAGTCATTTATAACGCCGTTGGTTTTAGAAGAATTGATACGAATGTTCGAGAACTTTCTCGACGCGACAAGAAGAGAACCGAATAGAAGCGAAGAGAAGAATGACACTAACTGTTTGCTTACGTGGCATGGGCCCTTTTCAATTTTTCTGGTTGGTTCTAGATAACTAGAAAGAGATCATGCTCCATCATTTTTATATAAAAATTGTTAAAGCCTCGTTTATTTTATTCATGATAAGATATTGAATTTTAATTTCATGACCATGTAAAAATGTTTGACCATATCTATTCAAGTCTTTTTAAATTATAGATATTATTTAATTTAATCTATATCAAACTAATCAACATAATTGATTATTTTACAGAGATTTATATAATTGTATAAATATAAAACATTAATTTTATTAAGAGATTATTTTATTTATTTTAATCATCAATATAAAGTAAAAAATATATCATTTGCATTGATACAAATAATATTAATTAAACACTACAATTGGAAAAATATTACATTAATAATTAAAATGAGTCAAACAACATAAAATATTATTTTTTTAATAAATATATCAAATTATTTTAGAATGCAATAAGCATTTTAAAAATTTTAAATAATAATAATTAATGAAAGATTTTATTCATTTTATATATGTTTCCCCCTTAATACGTTGGAAATCATCAATAATTTTTCTTTAATCAAGTTTAATTTAAGGTTAAATATGTTTAAAATCTCTTTAAAGTTAGGCATTTGTATTTTTTGTCTCAAATTTTTGGTTAAAGAATTGTCTAAAAATAAAAAATTTAATTTTTAGTCTATCCTGCAACGTAGCGACGCTTTTTATAACTTAGCGACTGAATTATAGACAGTTTTTACAACTAAGCAACTGAATTAACAATAATTTTTAGCGATAATTTATTACTCAGTGATTGAATTAGCGACGATTTTAGTAGGAGGGACCAAAAGTTAAAATTCGTAACCTTAGAGGGACTTTAACGAAATTTTTTAAAGGGGCAAAAAGTGAAAATGCTTAACTTTAGAAGGACTTTAAACATATTTAACCCTTTCATTTAACTTAATTTCAAGGGCATTGTGGACTAATTACACTTTGCTTGAATAATAGAGGTTTGACATTAAATTTTGATGATGTCTCCATCTTAGAATGCATTTCACGTAGAGTATAGAAAAACACAAGTCATTTCAAAATTTTCAAATGAATCCATCATTTCTCTCATGCCTCAATGGAGCTTTCACAATCTTCAATGTATTGAGTAGTGAAAAGTCACATTGAGAGTTGGAGTGAAAAATATGCACTCTTTAAAACTGATTTCTTCCGACACAATTCAAACTACCCCTAACCAATCACCTTCCTTCGCTGTTTCCATTTCCATCTGACCGTACCCCTTGCAAAATACTCTCACCAGAGTTGTTCAGACTGTCGTCGTGCGAGGTACAGCGTGTTAGTTGAGAATTTCGACGACATATGACACTGAGGAAAATGAAGAAATAAAAAGAAGTTTAGTTGTGGAAGAGAATATGAGAATATTTCATAAGGGATTTCGACTGACTAAATTATGGACAGTTTGCTCATATTAAATAATGGCTAAAGTCTTATTTGTTGTGGAATGTATGAGACTTAAAGAAAATTAAAGTTTTGAATTTGAATCGTTTGACACGTCATGTTGTTGTTTTGGCGCTTCGAATTGAAGAAGGATTTGAATTCAAATGGATTGATATTATCCGGAAGGACGCGTGGAAGCCTAACGATTCGAAGAAGCATGCAAGACTCGAACGTGACACTTTTGTAGAAAAAGACTGTTAGAGTCGAATTAGTATAAATCATGATCTTTGTATTAGAATTCAATGTGTTCACTTTTGTACAAATCATTCAAATAAACTCGAAGTATCAATATTAAAGAAAAGAGTCATTGAGAATGTACGTATAGAAACACCAGTTTATATTCAAAGTCATTTACTTTAAATCAAGTCTTTTACATTTCACTTTACATTTAAGTCGAATTCCTTTATATTTCAGTCATTACCTTCAAATCTTTTTACCTTTATCTTGTCATTTTTGTTTTATCTTTACTTTCATGTCATCATTTTGTTTAGTTTTACAAACACTTATCAATTAACAAATTATTGTCGAAAGTATGAACAATTCAACAACCACAAATCATCAAAACTAGACACATGTCCTAGGATCAATCTAGTTGATCCTGTGAGTAACCAAAAACCTTTATTTTGGAAGACTACCAGTTGTTTATCAAATTTTACGGTAAATAAATTAGCACACCCGGTGGAACTAGTGTCTACGTTTGTATCCCAAGTTTTTGTTTTGTGTTATATATTCTTTTAGTCCATTGTTTGACATTGTTGTATGAGATTAAGGAGTAGAAAATTAGTCAAAACTAATGAACCTATACCAAAAATAAAATACACTAGGAAGATGGTTAACCCACTGATCGTACTGAATCGCACTATGTTTCTGACTCAAATATCACATGTTTTCCTTAGTTTTTATTATCATTTTCTCGTATTATGTTCCTTTTTCTTTCGTTTTCAGGATTCTTGTCATTTCAGAGCCTTCTGTGAAGAAACAAGCCAAAACGCCAAGAAATTAGGGTTTTTCAAGACATTTTGCACTTATGGCGTTCAGCACCGCGCTGGCTACAAGGAACGCGATGACGCGGCCCACTTTCACCCAGAGATCAACTGCCACGTTCCCATGATGTGGCAGTTCCTGCCACCGCGCCCGCGGCCACCCCCACCGTGCCCGCGGCCTTCACAACAAACTTCCCGCTCAAAAGAAGTTAAGGGGCATGCTGGTCCTTACGCACCTCAAGGATCCTCTATAAATAGTTTTCGATTTTCATTCTTTAGTTTCATCCAAGCTTAGTACAATCTTAAGCCATATACTATCAGTTTCTGTAAAGTAATAATCTCTTCACATCGGGGAGTTATTGCGGTGTAGATTGAGTTGTAATCGAGTCTTGGAGCACTTTGGTTGAAGTTCATCATACCAGCCTTACCTTTCCGTAGATTTGTATCAGATTCAAGTCTCCGACTGGAGCAAGGTTCTATTTTATTGCATTTCTTTATTTAATTGCTCTTACCATAGTCTACACGTTTTATAGACTTTAAATGCTCTTATCATAGTCTACACGTTTTATAGACTTTAAATGCTCTTACCATAGTCTACACGTTTTATATACTTTAAATGCTCTTACCATAGTCTACACGTTTTATAGACTTTAAATGCTCTTACCATAGTCTACATGTTTTATAGACTCGCACTTATTATGTCTGGCTAAACTATAAAGGTTAGGATGTAATGATTGTCATCATGATTGTGTTCCAATTATCATGCTAGTGAAAATACTCTGGGGATGTTTTGCTTCTAACTTAAGTCAATTGTGTTTAAATGTTTATTGGGTAAGATCGAAAGCCGTCCAAACTAATGATACGACTTGATTATTATTTAACCAAACAAGAAGAGCGAAAGCCGTTGATTGGTTAAATAAGAATCATTGACCTTTTTAGAAAACGATTTTGAAACTATTTTCGGACGCGTTTGTAGGTTTGAAATCTGACTCTTGGTCAAAAGCCAAAAGTCTCTTTAAGTTAATCTTTCCAAGTAAAATCACTTTTCTGTTAAGTCAAAACTATCAATTTCTTAAAAATAGGTTTACCTCTTTAACGCGGAAGGCACCCTTTATATGTGACAATAAAGGAATTTAATTTAAAGAGTAAACTCGGTTCTTAGTAGTCAAAAGCTACAAGTTCCCGTTAAATTGATTCTTTGCTATCGATAGAAAATACTGCCCCATAAGTAGGTTCATCTACGCATGACCGGACCAATATCTGATTACATGATTTACATTCCAACCTGTCTTTTAAACTGTTATTTACCTCGCTCATTTACTTTGTGCACTGCACTCACATCAATATTCTTGTTTGCCTTAGATAAGCACCTTAGTAATAGAGTTGATAGATTGACAATTGGTCTCTGTGGTTCGGTAATCTTATATATTACTTCGATAGGCTGTACACTTGCAGTACTACATTTAGGCTATACGTTACAGATTAAACCCATCAAGTTTTTGGCGCCGTTGTCGGGGACCAACTTCGTCAAATTTCGTACCCTATTGTTATCCCGTTTAGACTAAGGCTATTCTAGCCGGTAGATGCGTAGAAATCGTAGCACCGGTAACCTAATAGATCCTTTAGTAGAACCTGAACGTTACGCTCGTGCCCGTCTTTTTATACGCAAGATAAAAAGAGCTATGGCAGAAGATCGTAACCAAAGACCGCTCAAGGAATTCGCCCAACCATCTAACGAGGAACCTAGTTCTAGTATAGTAAACCCTGCTATAACTACCAACAACTTTGAACTAAAACCCTCCTTATTACAATTAGTACAACAAAACCAATTCGCTGGTCTCGCTACCGAGAACCCGAATCAACATTTAAAGGTATTTATCCAGTTAGCTGACACCCTTAAGGCAAATGGAGCCACACCCGAAGCTATCCGTTTAAGACTGTTTCCTTTTTCCCTTAGAGGTAAAGCTCACGACTGGTTAGACGCCCTTCCAACTAACTCAATAACAACTTGGGAAGACCTTAGGAGAGCTTTTCTTGCGAGGTATTTTCCACCAAGCAAGACCGCTGTTCTTAGGAACCTGATCACTTGTTTCACCCAAAACCACGGCGAATCACTTTTTGATGCCTGGGAGAGATATAAAGAACTTTTAAGAGCTTGTCCGCACCATGGCCTGGAACAATGGTTAATCATACATACCTTCTATAATGGACTCCATTACAACACAAAGATGTCCATAGACGCTGCCACTGGCGGAGCGTTGATGAACAAACCTTACCCTGACGCTTGTGCCCTAATAGAGGA